GAATACTTAATTTCCTTTTGTAAACACAAACTTATAGGAACACCCAGACCAAATCAAAAGTTAACTGTTCATGCACCCAAATGTTTGACTTTGAAGTTTGGCGTAGTAGTCTGTTGCACAAACCACTACGCCATCTGGCCATCTAGATAGTAGGCGAGATGATGATGATGATGAGATCACTAGCTTTGCCCGCAGCTCCGCCCGCGCGCATGTCCGTTATCGTGGTAAAAAGAAGCCAATGTCCTTTCTCAAGAATCAAACTATCTCCATACTAAATTTCATCTAAATCGGTTCAGCGGTTATTGATTTCCCATACAAACTTCCATCCCCCTTTTCATCTCTGTAAATAATGATTTCTGTGATAAAAACTATGTCCTTTTACGGGACTCGAACTATCTCTATACCAAATTTCATCTAAATTGGTTCTGGGGTATAAGCGTGAAGAGAAACAGACAGACAGACAGATAGACAGGCAGAAAGATACACTTTCGAATTCATAATATTAGTATGAATGTCAAAACATTTTCATCATCATCATCATCAGCTTATACTAGTCCACTGCTGGACATAGGCTTCTCCTTAGAACATTTTAAAGTTTAATATTACAAACTCTAGTACAGTTACGTTCTCAAGCAACAGTAAAAAACTAAAATAAAAGAATTGGCGCAGTATTCGCATGTGTGCCAATTTCACCTGTAATACTCATTTTCTATGTCTACAATTCTACAGTAACTTGTTTGTTGTTTTTAAAAACATATTATTTGAATATGATTTCGTCATGAATAATCATTAATTAATTAACTAATCATGTTTATACCAGAATTACATGGAATAATTGTAATCAACCGTGTTAATATCTTGTTACAGCGACTGTGATTACCTAAATACATATGATAGTAGTTATCGATAATCCTTTTGGAATTGTTTTTGATAAAAGTCGTTCAAGTCACCAAATTTGTGAACATTATATATTATTACAAAATGGATACGTTATAATTAAATATTGCTTTAGTAGTGATGTAGTTGTTAATTAGAGTTTCTTACCTTATAAAACATTATTATAGAGTTTTCTACTCTACGGTTGGAAGTAAGGGACTAACTTTGTACATTAATAATTTATTGTATATATCAAGATAGAATTGAGTGTAGAAATACCTTTCAGGTAATGATGGTGAATTTTAAGATGTTTTGAAAATTGAGTAAAATAGTGCTGGTAATTATTGTTTACAAACATGTAACAGGTGTTTATACAATTTTATTTTGAAACCATCTTATTGTGCGGGACAATATTTCTTTATATTTAGTTCTTTTTTGTTTAATTTAATATTCTTAACTATAGTGAAATGCACCTAATCATTCTATTTCACACCACCCTACGGTAGACTGGTAGACAATGCCAATGGCATTAAGTCCGCCATTTTGTGCATAAGTTTTAAAATAAATATTTTAACCTATTAAATAAGTAGGATACTCTTGAATTTACTACTTTATGAACAATGTGTTGGAGTAGGTTGTCCAATACCCATCTAAATCACAGTATCTTAAAATGTATCTGAAGCATAACTTAAGTACACAGAATATAAAATTGCTTGCTGGATATTATGTTACACTGGTCACCACGTAGGTTAAAGATCTGGACGGGTAAGACAGGAATACCCCGCGCATGTCTTAGAGACCACCGTGTCACCTTGGCTAGTTAAATCTTATAACCTTAATATGAAGAAATAGATAAATTGAATTTTTGAAAACTAAACGGTAACTGAAACTCTCTCGACATACAAAATTAGACTTGTCTGAAATTAAAAGTCGCATTTCTATTTCATCTCAGATTCCAACCCCTTTATCTCCAATCAAAACCCTGCAAGTCTCATTAAAACGTCATTACTTCTCATTAGCTACCAAGAATGTCTGAAGCACATCTTGCTAACTGGATGATTAAAGAAAATAAGTGCAGAGTGGCTGGGCAGAGTCTTATGACTGCAGGGGCATGAGCCAAATCATGACTGACCATTCCATTGATAAGGCAAACATTCAATTGTAGGATCTTAAGTGGGCCTCTAAGACAGTGCTTTGGGAAATATTTGTTTTTAATCGAAGCGAAAATATAGTGGCTGGTAGTTACTTTGTTAGTGTTTTAGTTTGGAATACTTTGTACCTACACCCATATTTGTTTGTATGGTTTTTTTTAAAGACAACTCCCGCATTAGGAATATATCATGTGTCGCGAGGCACCCAGACTCAGAACAACAATTTATGGATCACACAAAGTGTTGTCTCATGCGGGGATCGGACCCACGACACTCAGTGTAGTAGTGAGCGGCGTGGCGACCGCTTAAACTACTGAACCATTCGTGCATATATGCACACATACACACACACACACACGTTTAATTAAACGTCCATATTTTGCTAACTATAATTTTAGTTATACTTACGTAGGGGGCAAGCTTATTGCCGTCAAACGGGCAATTTTGACTGCACGAATGCCTGAGTATTGTGGATTCGATTCCCACATGGGACAACACTTTGTCTGATTCACAAATTTTTGTTTTGAGTGTGGGCGTTCTTTGTATCCTATTCATGTATGTTTGTAAAGTTCCCCGCGACACACGATATATTCTTAGTGCGGGAGTTGTCTTTTTACAATTAATAAATAAAAAAAATAGGATACATAGGAACAAGAAATCAGAATTACAATGCAAACTAAATGTCGACGGAAGGTGCGAGTCTTCTACCCACATTTGTATGGTAAACCATAAAAAATACTAGTCTTTAATAGCCATTAAAATACAAAACATATTTTTGTACTCATCATCAGTCGCAGTTCACCTTTTTTTGCTGTGCGGAACTCCCTTCGTATATCACCCACCGGTGGACTACGTCGGACCACTATTTTGGACTCGGTCCAACCAAAAACCGCACGCCATCTACATGTACCAGTAGCCGGGGAACCACCGCAGTACACCTCGCTTTATTCGAGATAATCAATATAATAAAACATTAAGGGCTCGTAGTCTTTGTGAGCGCCATATTAGCTGCGCACTAACAACTTTGACATACGTATACGGGATCAACACTTCATAAGCTGATACTTGCATTTCTTCTATTTTTAAATACTCTTATTATGATAGACGCATTTACGACTCACTAACGCCTTATCATCATCATCATCATCAGTCTTCAATAGTTCACTCTGTTGGACTTGGGCCACTCCTTAGTAAGGATGTTTTTACTTACTATAACATGCTGACAATACGCCTGGGTATAGGGTTTCCTTCAAGTTTTCCTTCTCTTTGCAGTGCTGTTGTTCTGTGTAGTTTCCTTATTAGGCTCTTACGACACCCTTAGATTGAATAAGGGTGGGGACACTCTGTATTCCTAATCCGTCATCCGTAACGTCTGCGCTTTAATTATACATATTAAACGAAATAAAAGTGCATACCGATGCCTAAAACGAAATCCTCGTTAAGCGATTTCAAATTGTAATACGCTGCAGTCTTCATTTCTTAAATTTCCACTTATAAGGAATATTTTCTTTGAATTTTAATGAGAACAAACATAAAGTATACTCCAACAATTTTTGAGTTGTCAGACATAAAACCACCAAATTGAAAAACGGCTCTTTCTTTGTACTCGTTTAAAATGTACGTAAAATGTACTTAGCAAGGACTTCCTTACAGGCGTCGATATGCAGAAGTCATCATTACTAGAAAAAATATTAAATTTTTGAAAGTAGCTTATTAGGTGTATTAATAGATAAATTTTCTTTGTAGATATATTACCGTTACGATTTGTGACGATATTACTTTTGTTGGGTTTTCCTTCCTGCTAAATGAGCAATGAATCAGTCTAATTTCACGTAGTAACATTACATTTCGTAGGAAAAGTTACTATTTATCGAACAAGTTCACGATTACTAAAATATCACATAAAGCGGACTCATTCTAACACTAACATAGGGTAGGTTTGGGCTACTTTAACAAAACGCCAATCTAGGTTTTTAATGAGTCCTGGTAGTAGGACACCTTTGAATGAATGTATGAATGAACGATCTAACTACTGTCCCTTTTTTAAGCTAAATAATTTAATAACAGAATAGAAGATAATATGTCTCTTAATAAATTTAGAAAAGTAAAATAATCTTAAAAATACAGTCGACCTCAGAGCTTTTCACATTTGTTTTAGTCAGTTAAAATATTACGAGTTAAATTTAAAAAATATATACAAGCGCGCAATGCGCATGAGTCACTTGCATCTTATAATTATGGTACGACTAATAAGGAAATGGCCCAGTGGCGATTATAGAGCGGTTTTACCCTCAATATGTTATCGACGAGATTTTTACAATAATACTGGTTAGAAAATCAGTGAAGGTACAACGAAATGTGGGGGAAACACGCTTTGATTATTTAAAATAGGAAAAAACAACATCAGTGAGAATAGTACCTATATCATCATCAGCCTATCGCAGTCCACTGCTTGCCACTTAGATCGATTTTGGGTTTCTCGCATCCAGCAGAAGACCATGAGTATACAAATCTAAAGTATTAACTACTTTTTGCAACCCGGACATTGATTTCATTGTTTTCGATCAAAGTATGTATGTACATATTCTTTACTACTACTCGTAATTTGGTCAATGAATTTTAGATCTACATAGGTAATGAATACTAAATAAATTTCTTTCACCAAACCAAAACAATTTCCTCGTGATTACAGGTTTACAAAGGCAGTTTAAAGTGATAAAAGAATATCAATAGAGTGTAGGACCACCAGAGGAACACCATATCTTCTAATTAATAAAGTTAAAGAGTTCTCCTTCAGACGAATATTTCCGGTTTTGTATTAAGTCTATAGTTGTCCGTCTTTTTTTATGTTAGAGGGGGCAGACAAGCAGACGGACGGATGGAAAGTGACTATCCGACTATAATACCGCAGACAATAACCTGTTCCATAGTTCCTGTTTTTATAACCTTTTTGTCTATTTTTTTCTTTTGCAGGAGTATCGGCAAGTGAAGCTCTACGAAATGGTTTGTGCCAGTCCCTCTGGGGTGCGTCGGCCAGTCGACCAGAGCCTAGAATATCACCGCATAACCTTCATGAGACTTATCCCGTCAGAGGTAAGAACTATAGTCAGCTTTTTTTATTTTGTCTGTAAGTTTGTTCATTCCACACCAACTTCTAAACCGCTGAACATATTTGAATGTGTCATACATCCTTACATTATACTAAGTGATTATGGTTGTAATTTCTTTTTAAGTATGGTGACTTTGTAAATTTTTAACTATTACTTAGCAAACAATCAAGCCGCTCGCCTTCATTTAGATGGGATCAATGCGCTGGCGCAACACCATTGGTCAATCGCACCAGTGATGCCAGAAACGCTTTGCAAATTCAATCAGATTTTAATGGCAGTTATGTTTCTAAGTTAAACTTGCCTGGCAATAAATCCCCGTGACTTCGCATCGTGGGATTTCAGTAGGTTCGTGTCTGAAATACCTTGCCATTACACCATGACGACGTTCGTACCAGCATACCTTACTAGCCTAGCAGTAGCATACCTAGTAACATACAAAACACTAGGTAATACACCTATATCGTATTCTCATAAAATTAAAACAACTTTGGACAGTTTGCGGCGACTAATAAAGACTGCTGTAAGCCCAATATTTTATGGGCAACAAATATTATTTCATTACAGAACCCTAAAACTGTATCTAGCTCGGTGTAAGCCCTCGTGTAGTTATAACATACGTGATGTATGAACATATACATTAAAAGCTTATAATCCGTGATACGAAATCACCAGCACATCTGTTCTTTTTTGTGTTGCCGCCAAATTATCTAGATCTGAAGTGTTTCAGCATTGAGATAACCTATCTAACATACCAGACCATTCGCCACCAATGACATCTTTTCCATAGCCTTTTCATAGGTCTGTTGTGGATATCACATGGAATTCATAATCAATTTTAAAAGAATCTTGATTGAGTAAATTTTATTGATTTAAAAAGAATATAAAATAGATTTGTATCTAAATAACTTACCGTTAAGTTAAAAATCAGATTTTCACTTAATTCTATCAGGTTGCTATACCTCATGAACTGAATCTTTAAAGCTAAAAAATAACTTTATTATTTTTTCACTAGAATAGCCAAAGTCAGGATTGCTTTGGCTATGTTATTTAGACATTGGTAGCGCCCTCTGCCTCCAGAATAACGCTTTTAATCGCAAATTTGATATCAATATAACTCTAGATATTATTAATCAGTCTTACATAACATCGAACTACGTCAATCATTGATTTAGCATACCCATATACCCTCCAATAAAAAACAAGCAACAATAACCATTATCAAGCACCATAAATAAAAGCCCAATAGCACGTTTTTAATATTGGACGAAACTTCAATAACTCGCTGGCAAATCCCACGGCTTCAGATTTGGGGCTTGACATATCTGTATATCTTATCGTCGCCGTCAACGCGTATCACTGGCAAAATTACCTTGTTTTATGACTCTGATTTTAGCGGTACCACAAAGGTGTGATACCTTATCGATAGTCTATCAAGTTTAAACGACATGTTATGATGGTTGTAATTTTTGTGTCGAACAAATTTCGATGTAGATAAGGTACGGACAGCATACATATCTTTTACTATTTTCGAGGTGACGGTGTTGTGATTCGTGGATGATTTTTGTGATATTTTATTCTGAGACTGTTTTTCCTGCGTTTATACTACTACTCCATTTCTAAGGATCGTAGCTTAATGTTGTATAGTATATTGGTACAGGGCTTTGTATCTTCTTAAAGTCTAGTTCTTAAAGTCTATTTTTCAATTAGATAGCGCTGGGTAGTTGTGCTTCAACAAATACAGCTGCTCTTAGAAACCTTCTGGAACGTTAACGGACCTTTAGGAGCGACTTTGGGCTCTTGAGGATACTTGCTTATTATGTAGCGACCTATACACACTCCTGGATGACATGGAAAGGCATGTGTTAAGACAACCTTTTCATATACTAATGTGTTAACATCTTAAAAGTTTAGAATAATATTTGGATGACTTGATGCATTTTAGCTGCCTTTGTTAATCCATTTCTATAAGATAGAACTGCACGAGAGTGATATATTTTTTCGACTGTGACGAATAGCCTTAGAAAAAGCTCGTTGCAGTCATGTCATATTTACCTTTATTGATGAAATCAGCTTTTAAAAACTGCCTGAAATGTTAGATAGGCTAAAAACTCTTGGTTTTTTGTTAAGAAGTTATTTATTTTAGGAATTGAAATTGAGACATATTAAAACTTATATGCTGACTATAACAGCTGTCTCGGCGTTGTAAATCTAATTCGGACATGTGTACCGTGGTGGGTAAACATTACTGAACAAGATAAGGTTCTGGGGTCGTGTGTTAGAACCTCTAACTTAACGTATTGTGTTCGACCACACCACAGTGTTACATTACAGATATGTGTTTATCCATTTATTTAAATGTTGAGATTGTCGTTAAAGTACTTATAGGGAAGTAAAAGAACAACCATCAACGAATTTCATTTATAATCCAGTAAATGTGTAAATATGGTGGGGATTTTTCAATCCCCACCATATTTACACATTTACACTACAAAACACCATTTTAAGAGTTTTCGAGTTAATAATACTTCTTATTAAAGCTCATCAAAACAAAATCCCTACTAATGTTATAAATGCGCAAGTAACTCTGTCTGTTTGTGACGCTTTCACGGCTAAACCGCTAAACTGATTCTAATTGTACTTTGATCCTTGACATGTAAAAGTAACCTACTTTCACCGCGAAAATCGAAAATAAACGCGGGCGGAGCCACGGGCAAAACTATATATCAATTAATAATATTGAGCCTTAATAAAGCTCTTTCTATTGTAAATTAACTAAAAACCTACAATATGAAAATAATTTTCTATAGAGCTAACGAACTTTTTTATTTCATTGCTATTATTCTACGCAGAAATCAACAGCCTCAACACAAAATACTAACAGTTATTCAAACGATAAAAGTAACACTGCCTCTAAGTTGCTTCGATAAACTCTGAGTCAATCTTTTTCGTACAACCTCTTGCGATTATCAACTAGAGGTATAATGTACAAAAACTGTTGACTCAAAACATGCGACTCAAACAACAAAAAGGGCAAGTACAATGCTCGATCAATCAGGGGGTAACATTCGTGCCTGGTATACTTGTCAATATTTGCCAAGTGCCGGTCACGACACCGCTTGGCTGTTTGCGTTGTTATTCGGTGTTTGTCGAGTCCGGCCAAGTCGCGGGACTTCATGCCCATTGTTGGCGTGACATTTGAATGTAATTCTTTGTGTCGGTTTGCGTTTATTTTGTGATGGTTGTTTAGATTTTGATCGTTCACGGTAAAAGTTTAAAAGCACATAAAATGTATTATGGTCTAGTTAAAAAGTACCTAAAAATTCTCTTTAAAATGTGCTGAGTCTAACTTCTAGACTAAAAGTATCAGAAGATGAAATCATGAATTAAAACTCAATTCATCTAAACCTTACAGAAACGATCAGTACCGCAACTAGAGGCGGTGTAGGTGGTGTGGTGTCAGCGGTGCCTAGGCCCAAACCCTGGGGGGCGCAGAACGGATATAAACTCAAATTACTATTTTCGAAAATATTTTCTATGTTACGCAATTACAGAAGTTTGCACCAGGTGCAATAAACAATAGCTACGATACTGGCTGAATAATGAGGTTTTTGGTAGAAAGAAAGGTAACCACACAAATACAACGTTAGAAAAATCTAATTATCGGGACTAAAATGCGCATATTTTAATGTACTTGGTAACTTTAATAATCTGGTCATACGTATATTCTTAGGTAATATGGCTATCTACATTTTGCATTTGTTTTCAAGATAACTTAAATGGACTGTGTTACTCACACTTTAAAAAAATCATACTTATAATTTTCACAATACCACATTTTAATTTTATTTTTATTTTTAACAACAGTCGAGAATGATACGATACCTCCTTTCAATCCGCCTATACGCTATGTGTTACAAACGTAAGGTTCAGGATTGTCTGGTAAACTGACTACTCATTATAGTAAAACGTAACCATCCTCTTTTGCACAGACACGTTACTGCTTCAGTCGAATGGTAGAAATTGAGGCGAAATCTTCTATTCTTTTTAGTTAAGTTTAAGTGCCTCTTGGGTAAATAATATCCATTATCATTATATTTTTTTCTTAGTCATGATTAGTATGCAAAATTGGACTGAACTTATATCAAATCCTATTTTACGATGTAACATTATGTTTGCGGAATTAACCTCAATCACATTTATGGCCAAAAATCTTTTCTTTGTTGACTAACATTATCAAACGACAGTTTAATCTCAAAGAGCGGTGTCTTTGAGATTTCGTCAACATTGACAGACAAACAAACACATATAAAAGTTACCATTTACAATCAAATTTGAACCTTGAAGTCGTATAATTAAGGTTATTCGTTACAAAAGCAGTCCTATGTTGTCATGCATCCCAAATGTGAAACGCTGTATTGTTTCAGCAAATAATTCGTTGAAGAGAAGAGAATTGGGGTCACATACAAAGGCACCGCTTAGATAGTAGGGTCACTCTGATAACCGAGGTGTGTACTACGAAATTGAATTACATTACAGTACTTAGAAATTATATTTCATTAGAAAAATGATAAAGAACTCTGTGATTTTAGGATAGGCAGATAGGTTGGGGTCGAGGAATGACTCAGTTTTGTGACAGCCCTAACAAGAGCAAGATGGTTTGCCTCGCTTTGTACTCGCACGGGTAGCAGGCCATTAATAATAATAAATCATTATAAGAGGAATCAATTCGTAAATCCTACATTATTAAAGTGTGTAGTGTCTAAAACTTCTTTAACAATATTGTAGTCATATTTTATCAACCTTAAACAAAACTATAATGAATATACATATACCTTAATCCTCATGTACCTTTCTATCCATTGGTGATAAATTGTATCAAAATTTGTTTGGTAGTTTTTGCTTTTTGTTTTAGACATTGAATACACTAATTCTCACTCCAATCATGTTTTACTTGTTACTCCATTAAGTCAAGCATGGTTATGT